GGCCGTCCCGCTTGCGGGAGCCGGAGCCAGAGCTGGAGCCAGCGCAGAGGAGCCTTCCTTCGGGCCTCGCGCGTGAAGCCGTGGCCCCCACGCAGGCAGAGAAAGCAGAGAAGCGTGGTCTCTTAAACGTGGCTGTGAGGTGGCAGCGGTCCGATTACAGCAGACGCGGTCCCCGAGGCCTGCGTGGTGAGTAACGTGGCTGTGGCTTCTCGTTTCTCCTAGGTCCATCGGCTGAGGTCCGTGGATAATCTGTTTGTTGTTGTCCAGGAGTTCAAAGACTATCAATTTAAAGAGAACAAGGTGAGTCCCTCACTTCGCATTTTTCAATCAGGTGTGGGTTCTGGAGTGTTTTTTTAACTTAAGACTGGTTTCGGAAAGTGTTTTGTTTCATGAAGAAGGGGGTTTTATTGTATTTGTGATACTATCCCAGTTCCTCTTTGCTGGCATGTAAAACGCAACTGCAGTTGTGCTGCCTGACATCATTTCTCCAGTTATATGTGTTGCACAGGCAAAATCCAAGACAAGAGCCGATACCACGCTTGTAGGTCCCACTGAGGCATAGGAGAGTGAAGTATCACTTCAGTCTCTGAATTTAGTGTCAGCTGTTTATCTGACAAGATAAATGATGAAATAGTATGGGTCCTGTAGCTTAAAGCACAATCCAGTTACGGCAAAAAAGGCACAAAAGGCTGTAAGCTTTGCATAAATGTGTAGTGGGTTGCACGCGTGGGAAACTAATTTGAGAGACTCACAAAAGATAGCTTTGAAAGGGAGGGAATGACTTCAAAGCACAACTTCTTTTTGTCTTTTAAAGGAAGATGCTCTAAAGGATTTGGAAGATTTGGTTAAAAACCTGCCTTGGACCGATCCGTTGAAAGTTTGGGAGCTAAACAACAGCTTAAAAAAGAAAAAGACAAAACGCAAAAAGCCTAATCTGCAGAGTACTGCAAGCAAAGAAAAGTTGAATGAGGATGGAGAAGAGGAAGGAGAAGATCAAAAGGATGCTAGTAAAGAGGAGGACTGCGCCCAAAACGCTGCAGGGGCAGAACCCGCTGGCAGCCAGGGTTCCGAAAAGACAGAAGGAGTGGCATCCCGAAGCGGGGGGGAGGAGGAGGAGGAGGAGGATAATGAACAATTAGATGCTAAAGAGGAATTGCAGGCGGGTTCCGGGCGTGAGACCAAGGCTGGCGACGGTAAGACCAGTGAAGGAGAGGCAAAGGTGTTGAAGTTCCGCGTTACGTGCAATAGAGCAGGAGACAAGCACAGTTTCACCTCAAACGAAGCTGCAAGGGACTTCGGCGGAGCTGTGCAGGAGCACTTCCAGTGGAAGGCTGACATGACTAACTTTGACGTGGAGGTATAGTGTTGTGCCTTGGAAATACCTGCGTTTCTAGTGTCACAATTCTTCTTTCTTATTTCTGATGCTTGGAGATATCCAAAATGCCTTCAAAAGATGACTCTGGAACTAAAAATTGGTAATGCTGAAATCGCAGCCTCCTTGGAAGCATTCCTTTCACTGGCATGTCATGTGTGACCTCAGATCCCACCACTTGCTAGCGCTTTGGCTAGCCATAGTAATCTCTTTTGTGGCCCAGCGTGGGCACCTCTCCTCTTCCCCGGGTCCCTCTTGCTCTGCAAACGCTGTGTCTTCTCCCCAAGTTAACTGATTAACGTCACTACACCCAGTACAGCTGAGCTGATGCTCAAAAGCTGTCCGCTCTCCCTCAACTACAGCGAAGCTCTGGTGCTGAGTGCTACTTCCTCCTGTAGCATTTGCTCTCGTGCAGGTGCCTTCTGCTTCACTTTTACCCTCATTAAATCTTTGCTTAATCCCTTGTTTTATAGGAGTGTAAACTAACAGAAGATACTCCATCTAGAAGCTGTAGTTTTATGGTTGATGGGGCTATAAAGGGTTAACATTAACTGTCCAGTGTTTATTTCTTGTCATAGGGCAAGCAGAGATTTGGGAAGGAGACCCAACAGACGTGGTCCGTCCACGGTGCAGGAGCACTGTTTCTGAGGGGCAGAAAAAACAACTTTTTCTTGCAAGTCTGTTAAGGGCTGGCCCACTGTCCTATAACAGTATTTTCACCTTCCAAATTAATATGGTGGAGGGGACCAGGAATAGGATTTTTATTGCTGCTTTGCAAATGCTTCGCTGTGACTTGCAGGACTTACCCTACCCACACACACACAGCCCCTTCCCCCATGCTTACACAACAGAACTTTTTAAAAGTCAGCATAATGGTTACAGCACTTCTTGAAGTCTTGAGTAAAAGGTTCTGTGTGAATGACAAAATGCTCGTTCTTGTTCTGTGTGAACAAGAAAATGTGTGAATGCTCTCCTGAATTTTGTCTGTTGTTGCCATTAAAATGGTGCATTGCTTTTCTTCCAAGAATGCTCTTCTACACTTATTTCCTGATTTCTAAATTACCATCTAAGATGCTCATAAATAGAAAATGGAAAACTTCTGTTACTGCTGAAATTTAGTTCAAGTTTTTTCTTTAGGTTCTTCTGAATATTCACAATAATGAAGTAGTTGTGGGCATTGCATTAACTGAAGAGAGCCTTCACAGAAGAAATATTACCCATTTTGGACCCACAACTCTTCGTTCAACTCTTGCTTACGGCATGCTTAGGTCAGTGCGATTCCATAGTATTCTGTCATTCTCAGTTAACAAGTCATTTGTTTCAGAAATTAGATCCTTTATTCCCCCACTGCTTCCTCAAAAGCCATTTCTGTTAATTCTTAAAAAAAAAAATAAAAAAAAAAAAGAGAGAAAAGCATAGCTGCTGAAACGGTGCTTTGTAATTAACAGCGGATGTTTGCCACCTTAGTAAAGTAAATGTTTGCTGTGATCCATTAGCTAATTTTCAAAATAATGTATCCCATTCTTGGAAGTATTTCACTGTATTGGTGTTCATGAAATGCTAATTAACGAATGGAAAAAATAATCACATAGAATTTTGGTTTTTTTTTATTTTAGAAGGGCAGAATCAGAGTGATTAAAATAGTTCCGTTTTCCTTCCTTACAGAAATGCACATTCTTGAGACTTATCTCACCATATCTGGTTTTCTGTTCCTCAGACTCTGCGATCCACAGCCGACAGATATCATAGTTGATCCCATGTGTGGTACAGGTGCAATACCAATCGAGGTGATTCTTCCTTTATTTTCTAACTTATAAAACTTGACAGGATCTGCAAACTGACTAATCGTGTAAGTTTTCTTGGTAATAACTGAATAGCCAACTCCAGAAGTATCTCACCAACTCTTAAACAGATACAAATATACTTTTTGCAAATGGCCACATTTTTCTTCCAAAAGCTGTAGCAGGAAGAAACTAAATCCCAAAGTACTTTGAGCTTTTAAGATGCATCATAGCTATAACAGACACCTGTTACAGAAGTTTAGAATTGTGGACACCCACTTCCAGTTGCTTTGTTGTGTTCTGTCATATTTGAGTAATTCTTCTGCTTGTTTGCTTTGGTGTGTTTTGTTTTTGTTTTTGTTTTTTTAATTAAGCAATGTTGATGCTGATGTTGCTTGTTACCAATATTTTCCCCCAGGGAGCCACAGAATGGCCTAGCTGCTACCATATTGCTGGTGATAACAACCCACAAGCTGTGAAGAGAGCAGCAAACAACATCTGTTCTTTACTAAAGAAAAATGAGAGTAAGGAAAGGTGAGACGAGTACAAGTGATCTTCTTTTCCTGTAGTGTTGTAGGTGAAGCAGTCCATTTTGCATTGATGCACTTGACCATCTTGTTCATATTTTGCCATTTATTCTTTTGCTAACGTTATAGAACTCCTCAGTTTAAAAATATTCTCAGTAAACCGTGTCTGAGATGAACGTCTTTGCCCTTGCAGCAGTTCTTCCCTGGGCATACCCTTAGACATCATTCAGTGGGATATTTGCAATCTCCCTTTGCGGACTGGTTCTGTGGATATTATCGTGACCGACATGCCGTTTGGAAAGAGGTGAGGTACCACTGGTAAAGTTACTGCCCTTAACTGCCACTACTGCGTGTGCTGGCCTGTCCAGGGTTAGGGTTCTCTCTGGGTAGGTACCTTACTGGGCCTAATTAAGAAGTATTGATGTACCCTGTATTAAAAATGAGGGTTGAAATTAATAGTAAATATGAACACGAATGAGGTAATCCATGTCTGAAAGACCAGCTACAGTTAGCTGTTTTTCAGTGATCACAAAGAGGATCGCAATTTATTTTTCAGGATCGGGTCAAAGAAGAAGAACTGGGATCTCTACCCAGCCTGCCTGACAGAGATGGGCCGGATCTGCACGCCGGGGACGGGCAGGGCTGTGCTGCTGACACAGGACAAGAAGTGCTTTGCCAAGGTATGTTGTGTGAGAGAAAACCAAACCTATTTACGCGTGAAAATATATTGAGAAAAAAATTGTAAGCTGACTTCGTTACAGAAGATGATCTGTTTTTAGAGCAATAATTAGTAGCATTTTAACAGTTTTGGACCTGAAGAGTCACTTGACGTTGCTATCAGATGTGATTTAGAGTAATAAGAAATAATTTCTAAAGTAAACTTACCCTTACTATCTGATCTTGAAGCCGCCGCCACTCTTTGGCTGTTCTTTTGGGTTGTAGGCCTTGTCACGAATGGGACACATCTGGCGCAAAGCTCAGACCGTGTGGGTGAACGTCGGCGGACTTCATGCTGCGGTGTATCTTCTGAAACGCACCTGGGAAAGAGCGGAAGAAAAAAGATCTTTCTGGTAACCTGCGTGGAGGAAGACAGGAGACACCTCCAGCATTTGTTGAATAGCAGTCTGGTAAAGCAGACGCCCAAGAGCTGTCAATTCCTAAGAAAAAAATCCCAAACAACCTATGTAGAGATTGTGTAACACGAATATTAAACCAGGGATCAGCTTGAGAGCTACCAGTTGTACAGTGTGTTCTGAAACCTTGTTATTTAAGTCACCTCTTTCCTCCCTGTCACCCCAACTGAAACTCAGTGGTGGAATTAGTAATGCTTCCCTTTGCCTGAGTTTTCTCTACCATGTCCATTGCAGTTTTCAGTTACATCTTTATTTCCTCTGCTCACAGTAGAAAACATGTCGATGGGGCTTTGGAGATTAACAGTGATTTTATTTCCCAAACTGCAGAAATCATACACGTATCGTAAAATGACTAACAAGACTACTAAGACTGTCACTTTGAAGGGCTTAGAGGTAGTATGTCTTTAATGTAGGATTTTTCCACATTGAACTTCTCTGATTTATACCATCGCCCAAATGTAAAATAATAAACCAGCATCTGCTTTTTATGGTCTGATAAGCAAATGCCAGTTAGTAAACAGTATGCTGATGCTACTGTTTTCCTTACTTGTTACCTCAACTTAGTGCTAACTATTAGTAAATGTCTAATCCATATTTTGATGTACCAGTGTGGTGGGTGAGGGGGGTGACACACAGAGCCTTAGCAAACTGTAGTTACTGTTTGAGAACAGGGATGCTTTCAGCAGTTACATTAAGAAGTTCATGTTTTCAGCATCTACTGTAGACACATCAGGGTGGCCGTATGTTTAAATTTATTAGGTGACTTAACTCCTGTAGTTATGCCACAATATTGACAAAAATATATTACCTGTTGAATAACTTGAAGTTGCAAATATTTTTTTTCTTCTGTAAATGTACTGTGATTTCTCAGGCCTCTTATTCTTTGCTCGTCAGAGGCTGAAAACACTAATTACCAGTTTGCCATTTTCATGAACGTGTATTCATGCTAAGTATGTGTACGTGTTTAGAGGTGAATTAACAAGTATTAAAGTTTTAGAAGTTTTGCATAGGAGAGAAGTCTTGATTGTATTCTTCTTCTGGCCCGTGTCCAGTAAAGGATAATGCAGCGCTTTATTTGCTCCGCTGTCCGTTGTCTTTCAGGATGAAATGGTGCTGACAGTGTCCATTTAATTCTTCCCCACGCTGCGTAGTTTCTGCGATGGCGTCAGGCTGTGATGCACGCAGTTGTTGCGTGAGGTGGCCGTCTAAATAAATACTCCTGCTCTAGGGAACTTCACAGCTTGAACCTGGATATATTGCATGCTTAAAATGCAGTAACGTCCTGGTGGTTTGTTATTGTTGTGGGTTTTTTTAAGGAAAACCAAGGACAGTAACATTTTAAGACGTTATAGTGTGCGTTTTGAAGTATTTTGTTTCCTGAGTTTCAAGCTTGGGTTGAGATGCGTGAAATGCCAGTCACCCCTTTGCCCTGCGCTAGGGTTGCGGTTTGTTCTCCACAGCTGACAATAAATAGGTTCAAATCAGGGCGCTGCGACTTGGCAAACCAGGCTGTAACCGACAGCAGGAGATGGGAACGAAGACTCCCGAGGGCTGCAGTGAGTTTGTATTGGATCCTCAGCACTCGTGACACCGAAACGTGCAGCCCCGCGTGCCCCTGCGGTGTTTCTCGGGAAGCGGCTGGGGCGGAATCGCTGAGGGGCGCGGGAGGGTGTGCGGTGATTCTGGGTGTGTGTCTCACAAATGGAACTCTGTGCTCCGAGTCGCGCAGTCTAAGGCAGTTTCTCTAACGATTCCCCTGCGGTGTAACGGGAGCTCGGTGCCAGCACCCAGCCG